TCCTTCTAAAAAGAAAAAGAAAACTACTTTGGTAGCAGCAAAAACAGGGCAATGTAAAATTTAGGTTGGTCTTTACCTTCAAGAACAGGTATACACTGCTTTGGGGGAAGCATCCAGATGAGATTAAGCAGTAATAATTGTACAGAACTGATAAAAGGCAGCTCAAGAAGCCCCTGGTCATGAAATCACCAATGTTTGCTCCGGCATTTTTGGACTTAGAAATGCTGCAATTTCAACAAAAATACACAGTACCTTTTGCTGCAGCAAATGAAGGAAGTGCCAGACTGACAGCTGAAACCCCAAATAAAACCCCAGAACTCTCCTGTGAACTTCAATCGTTGAGCACCGGGACGGGCTCCGATCAATCTCACTGGACTCTTCCTTAATCCCCAGCCACCTAACTGAGCAGCTGTTTTGCATCCAGGCGTGCCAAGGAGCAGACAGCTAATCACTTCTCGGACTATCTATGGTCTAGATTCAGAATTTGTTTCCTTTTCCTTTTAGGTCATCCCACTGAGACCCGATTACAGTTGGGATTGAGTGTGTGCAATGAATATAAGACAATGGTTCCCAGCTTTAGGTCCCCAGATGTTCTTGGACTATGACTCCCAGAAACCATGGCCAGCACAGCTAGTGGTGAAGGCTTCTGGGAGTTTTAGTCCAAGAACATCTGGGGATTCAAAGTTGGGAACCACTGATGTGGGGGATGACAGACTGACTTAATTAGATAGGTTCAAGGTAACACACTTGGCCAAGCCAGGTTACTGACTGGGGCAGTAAAGCAACATCCTTCACACTCCCAAAACATTTTTCCTGAGCACGTCTCCCAGGAGGTGGAAGGAAGGAAAGGAGCTGGTGGGACTTTTGCCTACAAACTGAAGGTCCACCACATTCCCAAAGTTGATAGTACTGCATAAAGCCACCCCTCCCCCACATCCCACATCACTACCCTTTGTTTTCCATTGTCTTAGGATTCTTTTCCCCCCTCCAGATTTGAAAACATTCAAATACATATCACTATCTGTAGAAGCCTGAGAGAACAAACCAGTTTAGACCACCTCCAAATCATTTTAGGGCAGGTTGGTCATGTTTCATATGACATCTATTTGGATACAGATTGGATCAGACGGCATTCACACACCCTTATGTTCAGGTCAATGGCTATAGGATTTGGCTATCAGCAGCATACTTAAAACTTTTGCCAGTGTGGAACTGGGGGGGCAGGAATTGACTCCTTCCCAGAATTTGGTTAAGTAGTACAAGTTATAATTGATAGAGAGCATTCCTATTGGCTGGCATACTCCTCTGCTATTATAAAATATAAACTGTGCATCATTTTCTTAAGATGAGTCAGTTTGGAAGTGATTAGGAACAGGAGCTTCCCCTTCTTTCAGACAAAGAATCTGGCTCTCCAGTTTATTTGCTTTTCCAACTATTTGATGGCAATTGCTATTCCAAGTTAGTTTTCTGCTAGTTCCATTGCATGCCTTTTATTTTTTCCAGAGTAACCTTCCCCAAACTGGGTCTGCCATAGGGTTGGGATTTCAACACTCATGCAGCTAATGCAATAGTCAGGAATCCATGGAGTTGTAGTTTAAGATATCTGGAGGGCACCCAGCTGGAAAAGGCTGTTCTAAAGTAAAGCCCAGGGCACACAACTGTTCTGCTCCTGGCATCTGCTCCCAAAGATTTGTGTCCAGGTTCTGTCAGATGCAGTGTCCTACTTGCTGGTAGACATGGACACATGTGTGACTCGGGGTTCAGCTCTCTTTGTTTCTGCTGTCAAGATGGAAAAAAAGATATGGGGTGAGATCACTTCTGGCTGTTCACAGGACAATTGTAGATTGGTACTTGGTTTATCCTACATAACCTTATTTAAATTGGTCAGTGTTTGATTCTCCGTATTTTAAATTTCTGGCACATTTTTAATGCCTGCTTTTTCTATTCAAAGGCCACTGACCCAAAGCAATAAAATTCAGTCACCGGTGGGGGTGACTTGTTTCCTTCGTGAAGAACTGCTCAGTACAAATAGTGATGTCCTGTTTGTGAAAGCAATGGCAGGACACAGAGAGCAGAACAAAGGGACAGAACAAGGGGGTCTTTTCTCGTATAGAATAGGGGCATCTCGTGGACCCCCAGATGCTGTTCCCCTCCTGACCTTTATCAGCTCTAGGCAGGAATGGTGGGAGATGAACACCAACACCTAGGGGGCCTATAAATTGCCTCTCTCCATCTTACAAGGACAATTTAGCCTTCACAGGCCAGCGTTCAGTTATATATTCTGGTTTATTTCTGTTCACAAAGGTGGAAGGTAACTTGACAGCTCAGGGTCTACACACCTGATTCATGCTGCCCTCTCAGAATAAGGATCTCACTTCTTGGGCTACCTTTCTCAACAGGTGTTCTTGAGAAGAGGAAAGTGCCTAGAATATGTGGGCATCCACACTTTGCCATTGACTGAGTCCTTTCCTATTTAACTCTAATGCCCACTGAGGAAATTTTCCTCTGCCCTCCAAAACTGACAGATGTAATGGGTGCGAAATTGATACAGGCCTGAAATACTATGTATGTATGTATGTATGTATGTATGTATGTATGTATGTATGTATGTATGTATGTATGTATGTATGTATGTATGTATGTATGTATGTATGTATGTATTTAAAATATTTATATGCCCCTTTCTCCTAAAGGATCCAAGGCAGATTACAGTATTAAAGAAACAAAGTTAAACCCAAAATAATAAATAACTGCAGAATTAAATACTCAAAGATTGTGCATCTCTGGATTGCTTCCTGGCACTTCGTGCGTCAGGGGTAGGGAGTAAAGTCTGTTGTTATTATTATCTGTTTAGAATCTCATTCAATTTTTTTCCCTCCAGAGTTCATTCTATGAAGTGGTTAATTCAAGGCAGAGGTGAGAAATCATAGTCTCTTCAGTGTCTTTCGACTAGAGCTCCCACAGCAAGCCTAACTGCAGACGAGCGGAGCTCTATTTCAGTATTTGGAGGGGGAAAGCTGTTCTATGGCACCCATGATTTCAGAGAAGTTGCTGTACTTCCTTCCCCAATTGCTTTAGGGTACATGCTTGCTGCCATTATAAAAATGCTTCACGGCTACTAGAAGAGGAGGTTTGTGGTGCAACCTTTTTACAGTATTTTGATGCACAGATGCTTAGAACAGCTGGTTCCATGACTGGGCTTTGTACCCTGAACTTAGCTAAATGAAAGTAAACTCCAGATTTCTGCCAGATCAACATTCTTTTAGAAGCGCATAAGATTGTACTATGCCAGTGGTCAGGGAACAGGGGTAAATTACCCCAAATGGGATAAAAATGAAAATCCTGGGGGTAATGAGGACGTGACCCTAACCCCCTTCCCTCCTCCACCTCTTCTGCCTGGAGGGGGGTCCCTGGAAGCCCGATCGTCCCCTTTCCCACCCCCTTCTCCGGCTCGGCTGCAACTGAACCACAGCCGATGGTGGCTGGCGATGGGCGGCGGCGGGGCTGGCTATGGTGGAGGGGAAGGCCAAGGTGAGTGGCTGGAGCACCCCAGCCAGGAGGAGCCTCTCCTTCCAGGGACTGGAGAGGTGGACTGCAGCAGAGGGGGAAGGGCGCAGCCATGATGGCAGCATGGGCCAGGCTCAGCCTTCTGGCACTGGGCCGCCCCCCCGTGCCCCGTCCCCGGAGGAGCCCGTTGGGCAGCAGCTTCCTTTGGCGGCGCCTCTGCGCTGGCCAGCCGGGCCTGGAGGACTTTGCCCTCCATGCGGCAGGTGTCACGGTGCATGGACGGCAAGACGATGGTAAGGCCCGTGGCAGGTGTCACGGCGCACGGAGGGCAAGGCGCTGGTGAGGCCTGTGGCCGCCCCAGTGAGCAGTCACCAGAGCCGGTGCCAGAGCAGGAGGTGGTGGCGTGCCAGGTGTCACGGCGCACGGAGGGCAAGGCGCTGGTGAGGCCTGTGGCCGCCCCAGTGAGCAGTCACCAGAGCCGGTGCCAGAGCAGGAGGTGGTGGCGTGCGCCCCCGGAGCCGGTGCCAGAGCAGGAGGCGGTGGCGTGCGCCCCCAGAGGGCAAGCCACCTGCTGCTCTTCGGCAGTCGCCCAGGAGCCGTCTGCTGGCGGAGAAAGGGACTGAGCCAGGCAGCAGAGGAGGAGGAGGCCTGGGCGGCGAGGCTTAAGTGGCAGCGTTCAACTGGCTGCGTATGACCGAGATCCTTCCTTTCAAATCAAGGAGGAAATGTAAGCGATCCTTTCAAATCAAGGAGGTAATGTCAGCGAATAAAAATTTTTAGGGGGTAAAAGTTAAAAAAGTTCCCTGACCCCTGTACTATGCAGTCCGATCTGTTTCCTCTGAAAGTTCAGAGCAGAAAAGGATACGCTTCATACTTTCACACCAAAGCTTCTTGAAACAACCCCCTCCCCCCAGTTTTTTGCCTCTACGGGAAGAGGGTCTAAGTACTCTTTACAAAATAGGTACTTCTAGGCCTCCTCTTGATGTCTGTAACTATGAAAATCTCAGAAAGTAAGATAAATCTCTAGTGCTCTCCCATTGTGGGCAAATCTGCCCTCTGTAATGTTGCCTCTTCTTCCTCACCCCTCAGTTCAGGGGTGAGCAACTTGGCCCTCTCCAGATCATTTGGACTTTCACCCCAACCCCTTGCCAAACTGCCTGAGGATGATGAAAGTAGTTCCAAACATGCAGAGATATCTAGGTTGCCTTCTGTATTGAGACGAGGGAGGTGGGGAAAGCTAATGTGCAGTTAAACGAAACAAATTCCCGGCATAGAGCTCCGTGCTTTGGCTCCTTTTGTACTTGAGAGTAATTATCCAGGCTCTTCTTCTAAGTGGGAAAACATTTTTTTTAATTTGTTGTTTCAGCCGCAATGGGGGGAATAAATCACTTTTAAAATACTTGCAGATCCCGTTTTGCATGCTCATGGAAGACCCAGCTGTTCGTGATTTGAATCTTTCTGTTGCCCGCACTTCCTGTTTGGGGAGTGGAATTTGCGCAGCTCCCTAGGGATGAACATCTGATTGCAGTCTTCTTGATTCTAAGCCTACAATCTTTGACCACACTTTTCGAGCACGTTGTACAGTATTACACTTCATGGAGAGAAGGGCGGGGAAAAAAGGCAGGATTGCTCTGCACGGGCGCGATCCGGCCCAAAGTAAGCAGCTTTAAACCCGTAGGTCGTGAACGGTTGGGTTACTGGTGTGGTGAATTCTTTCTGACCGGGTGGGGTCCGGGGAAGAGCAGTAACTTTTCAATTTTTTGCGGAGGGGGATGTTAGCCTATGATCGCAAAGACTTGCCGCAGTTTCTTGCGGCACAACCGTTTGCGGAGTACGATCCACTTTCCCAGATGCACAGCGCGTTCCTCTCAGTGGGCCAGGTGCATACCTGGGCGCAAAGGGTGGGAAAGGTAAACATTGGGGTCGAGTGGCCACGCAATGCAAACAAGCTAAACAGTAGAGAAGGGGGAACACAAGACATCCCTAGAAAATGTTGCAATCAACCGTTATCAAAAAAAAAAATGTGGGGCAGGAGGAGGAAACGGAGGACTTGTCAGCGCCGGAGAGTTGCATAACGTTTCAGCAACGCCGGCGATCCAGAAAAGGGAGGGAGGGCAAAGGAAGACCAACTGGGATCTCGCCGTCGGTCGTTCACCCAAAGCCGACGGATCCATCTCCCAAGGAAACACCCCGTTCCCTCCAGCGCGGAGAAGCACCGCAACCTCCCAAGGGGCGCTGAGGCAGCGAGGGAAACCCGTCCTTCCCTCTCCCGCGGGGGGGGGAAGAGACCCGGGACCCGCTCCGGACGCGCCTCAGGAAGCAACAGGCTCGGGAGGCGACCGAGAGGGAGGAAGAAGGCGGCGCTTTCCTTGGCAAGGACGCCCGGTGCCCATCACAGGCCAAACCCCGCCTCCCCGCCCAATAGGAAGCCTCCGGAGCGCTGACGGATAGGTCCGAGAGCGAGTCCCCCGCTGAGGATGTTGCTCTCCAAGCCCGATGGGGTTAAGCCAAGACTCCCGGAGCAGCAGAAGTTGGTGCGTCTTGACTAAAAAGCTCGCTCCGGGGCAAGCGGCGCCCTCCTTCCTCTCCGGGCATCGGGGTGCGCTGCTGGTTTTTTTTTTTTGGGGGGGGCATCTGGCGATTCCGGGTCCCTTCCTCTGCCCGGGCTCTGGGAGGCAACGTGGGATGTGAGCCGGGACGCGGGGCTGCAACTCGTGGCGTGCCCTTGGAGGCGTGCGGGGGGCCAAAGCAAACGTCGGCGCTCCTTTCCTCCGGGTTGCTTCCCCCGCGGCGTGCGCTCCGGTCTTGGCAGAGCCCTTGAGAGGTAGGCGTTGCCCCCCCCCCTTGCCTTGCCTCGGGCGGGAGGGCGTTCAGGAGCCCGTGCCTGGCGGGGTGCGCTGGGGTGGCCCCGAAAGCCCGGGAAGGACTCTCCTCGCGGGACCCTTGGGGAGAGGGTTTGCGGGGCGGGCAGGGATGCTGGGGCTGCTGTTTTTTGGGGGGCGGAGGGTGCCCTTGGTGCAGGACACTCCGCTCCTCTCCCCCTTCTTGACTCCTGTCTTCCCTGCCCGGAGAAGACCCGAGAGCGTGGGGGGGGGGGCTGGACTGTGCCCGCGCTGTGTGCTGTTGGCTGCGCCTGTGTTTACAAGTGGCTT